GAAGCTGACCTGTTACATCTGCAAGCAGCGTGGCTCTGGGGCTTGCATCCAGTGTCACAAAGCCAACTGCTACACTGCCTTCCACGTCACCTGCGCCCAGCAGGCCGGGCTCTACATGAAGATGGAGCCTGTGCGGGAGACGGGGGCCAACGGCACCTCCTTCAGCGTGCGCAAAACCGCCTACTGCGACATCCACACACCACCGGGCTCCGTGCGCAGGCTTCCCGCCCTGTCCCACAGCGAGGGCGAGGAGGAGGACGAGGAGGAGGAGGAGGAGGGCAAGGGCTGGAGCTCTGAGAAAGTCAAAAAGGCAAAGGCCAAGTCGAGGATCAAGATGAAGAAAGCGAGGAAGATCCTGGCGGAGAAACGAGCCGCGGCGCCCGTGGTGTCTGTGCCCTGCATCCCCCCGCACAGGTATGACCCACCACCCTCTGTCTGCTGTGGAGAAGCTTCTCCCTTTCCCCATGCCTCATGTCCCACTTTTCACACGGGTGTTACCTTGTTCCTCTCCTTAGCTTTTCACACAGATACTTCTCACCTTGTTCTCCCAGAATGCTGTTGGTGGCTTCCTCTGGGAGTCCTGCAGAGATGCAGAGATACGCTGCCCTGCAGAGGTTCCTGGGCACTCAGCAGGGCAGGAAATAGCTGCTGTTAGTTTAATGGCAGAGAAAGAACTCGGCTGGACATGTCAGGAAGCAGCTGGGGATTCGCAGCACTCCTTTCCTGTTGTGCTGACCTCAGGCACTGGAGTAAACCAGGCAGGGAGGAGGGAACTGCTCTCCTTTCTGCTGAGGCTTGTTTGGGTTTTTACAAAGACATTTAGTGATAGGGCAAAGGGGAGTGGTTTTAACCTGCCAGAGGGGAGGTTGAGATGGGATCTTGGGCAGAAGTTCTTCCATGTGAGGAACATGCTCCAGTGGAAGGTGTCCTTGCCCGTGGCAGAGGGTTGAAGCTGGATGAGCTTTAACGTTCCTTCCAACCCAAACCAGTCTGGGGCTCTATGATTCTTCTGGGGCTGTGCTAGGGAAAACAGGGAAGTGTGGGAGTATTCAGGCCTGGGAAATGGGCTGACCTCAGGGGTTGTTTTGACTCTGGAGCAGAGAGGTGTCAAGCTGGGATCCCTGTACACGGCTCATCCATCCCAGCAGCTGCCTACCACTTGCTGAGCTTCTTCAGTGTTTTGTGCCAGTTGCAGGCAGTGGTTCTGCCTCAGTGCTGGGCAGCAGTGGGGCACAGAAGGACTGCAAGGGGTGTCTGGAGAGGGACAGGGATCCTGCCCTTGAGGGGCTCAACTGTCCTGACACTGGTTTCACAGCGCAGAAGGGTGCTTGAGGCCTTGCCAGGGGTCATGTTTCTGTCACACCCCAACCCTGAGGGCTCACAGGAAGGCAGACACCCAGACTATGTGTAACTGCCCTGTTGCTCTGGTTTGATCAAACTGCAAACCAAGAGCTTTTAAGAGCCTTGCCAGAATTTGACAGTGTAGTTTATAACTGGGTGTCCTCAGCAGTGTGCAAAAGCATCTTTAGGATGGTTTTGGGTCTTGCCATCACTCTGCAGCTTTTTGCCATGGTCTCTTTGTGTCTTAACCTTATGTCTGTGCTCGCTTGGGCTTGCTCTGTAGCTGGAGCCTCTTTTCTCACGTGTGGAGGCACTGGCAGGCAGTTTGGAGGCTCTTGCTGCTATTGTTGTGCTCGCAGTGAAATCCACACTGAGCTAGAAGCTGTTGACCTCTCCTCAGGCCTTCCTGTTGGGATTAATTATTCTTCAAGGGCTGTTGCCAGGATGCCAAATGTCTTCCTGTGGGAGCTGTGCTTGGCCGGCAATGGCACATGAGGCTGCCCTCCCTGGCCTCTTCAGCTGAGGCGGATGCAGGTCAGGTCATCCCCTGTGGGATGTGGAGATGATGCTGAAGGTTCATCCCTTCAGCTGCCCACTAGTCTGGCTTTGCTGAGTGAGGCTGTTCCAGCCCCTCCAGGCTTTCTGCTGTTGTAGGGAAGTAGGAAAATCCCTTCTGTGGTGCTTTGGGCTTGGATGGGAGCTCTGTTGTGCTCATGCCTCCTATTCCCTCCTCAGTCTTTGCCAGGTTTGATCAAGTTATGGGCTCCCTGGGGCTTGAATTTGTCTGATAAAGTTTGTCCAAGGCCTTTGTCACCATGAGTGGCCCTCAAGCAGGTAAATAATGGTTTGGGGATGACAGTGCCATAATGCTCATGGCCTTGGGGACTGTGGGAGCGTTAAAGATCCAGCCCCTGGTGCAGATGTGTTGTACCATGACCTGGCACAGCCAGCCCCAGCCTTTTGCCCTAAACTTGGCAGGAGGTAGAAAGGAAAAGTCTGTTGTGGATGTTTCCTGGTGTCCCCTGTGGTGGCTGACTCAGGGGGGTGGCTGCCCTGTGTCACTTGGCGGTACAAAAGCTCCTGCTATGGGAAAGCGCGTTCTCAGCCCCCGGAGCTCCTCACCTGCTCCCGGGCGGCCTTGCTGCTCCCTGTCCCCAGGCTTGCCTTGCTGATGGGCTCTGTGGTTCCTCTCCCTCCTTCAGGCTCAGCAAGATTACGAACCGTTTAACCATCCAGAGGAAGAGCCAGTTCATGCAGAGGCTCCACAGCTACTGGACACTGAAGAGACAGTCCCGCAACGGCGTCCCCCTGCTGCGCCGCCTCCAGACACACTTGCAGTCACAGAGGAACTGTGACCAGGTAAGGGCAGCTCGCGGGGGTGCTGCAGGGGATCCTGGCTCTGTGTGCACATGTGCTTCCTGCGCCTTCCTTCGGAGCTGTGGGCTCAGAGCCTTTGCTTTGCATGTGTTGCCTGCAGGCGCAGAAGGGGGTCAGGGGTGCAAGGAAGGGCAGCCCCAGCAAGGGCAGCCCCAGCTGCTTTTGCTGCTTCACTTTGTGCTCTCGGTGTTGAGAGATGTGCCAGGCAGCACTGGCAGCCTGCCACAGGAAGGGAATCCTGCCCTCTCGTGCTGCTCTGCAGTTAGCTCCTGCCTCGTGCCCTCATTTAGCCGGTGGCGATGGCAAACGTGTCGAAGAGGCTCTAGTCTGAGGCTGCTCAACAGTGAGTGTTTGAGAGGGGTGGCTGGAGATCTCCACAAACAGTCTGGAAGGATCCAAGGCCTCACTCCCAGTTCCTGAAACCGCTCCAGGAGCACTCCCTGTGGGTGCTGCTTCCAGCCCACTGTCTGCCTCAGCCCTTAGTCACTGCTTCACAGATGTGAAGTCTCTGGTGCCAGAGAGGAAGGTTTTCCTTCTGGCTCCTTGTCTGAGCTCCAAATCTTTCTTCCCGAGCCTTTTGAAGCCTGTGACCGGGCAGGGGGTTCTCCTGCCTTTGCCCCCTCTCATTTTTATTTGCTGGAGAAGAGTTGAGACTGCTTCTGCTCATCTTTGGCTATGGCAGAATTAAAGTTGGCATTTTTTGGTGCTCCGGAAGTGAAAGCAACCAGAGCTGTGTTCCCTATTTGCTCTGCTGCCCTTTGCTGGAGCTCTCATCAGCAGCACAGACCTTAGAGGTCTTGTTCTTGGGCAACTGTGTTAGGAACAGTATTTCCAGAGGCTCAGGATGTCCACCTCCTGGAATTCTAAGGGCTTGGTAACCAAGGAGCAGGTATTCCACTCTGCCTAGAGGTCAGTCTGTTTCTGAGCCACCCACTTAGGTGACAACAGGGGAACTGGGACCTTTGCTAAACCAGAGGGTCAAACATGCTGGTTCCTTTTGCCAGGGACAAGCCCCAGCACACGGTCAGGAAGGTAGAGATGGGAACACATCTCCTGTCAGCTCATGGTCTCTGATGTTCCCGCAGAGAGACACTGAGGATAAGAACTGGGCCCTGAAGGAGCAGCTGAAGTCATGGCAGCGCCTCCGCCATGACCTAGAGCGCGCACGCTTGCTGGTGGAGCTGATCCGCAAGCGGGAGAAGCTCAAGAGAGAGACGGTAACGACTGTGTCCTCCTTGGGGAGCTGCTGGGGTGGGCCTG